GAACATTGCAGGTTTGCCCCATTTGTACAGAATGAATTTACATGTAGTTCTGATAGAGAACCTGCTATGTAATGGTTTAATAAATACACCCCTTAGTCTTTAATCAATGTACCATAAGTTCTAACACACTGTACAAATATTTCACTTACGAATGTCACAAGATGACTTACGGTTGTTTAAGAATGTGTTGGAAACAATATTGTATTTGTTATGCTAATGAGGCAGATATATACAAATCTTTTGAAAAGAAAAATTCCACCAAAAACTAACATTTTAAATTTGATCCATTGATCAGAACTTAATAGCTGGCATTAGTATTCCTCCAGGCTTCATTAATAAGGCAGCGCAAAGTGCAATGATGTTCAGGGACCTGGAGCAACTAATCATTTCATCACAACTTGCTGAAGTGTAGCAATCAAAAGCAATAATTCTGTGTTGCATGTGTGAGCTGTAATACACACAGAATACTAAAGAGGAGATTCTGCAATGGCAGTCTTGCTCCACAATCATTTAGTAAAGGCTACATGGATCTGCACAGCTGGAGGATCTTGTGATATTCTTAAAGTTCTGCCATTAAATATATAGGCCTAATAAGATCTGTGCAGACATTAGAATTCAAGTCGTTGCTTCTGTTACCCGTCATCAGTTTCAAGATGTCTGTATAATGAAAGGAATACTGTGGTTTGGCTTTATTAAGTAATCAGGCTTTTCAGTAGGACCAAGAACATTTTTATATTCAGATGGGGCTCTAGGCACTGTATTCTAGTTTTTGATGGGATAATATGTTTCAGACCTCTGCAAGTTCCTGTCCTCCCTGTGCCCATATTGTAGACAAAGTGAAGGGATAACCAAAATCTTTGTGTCAGTGCTGAACAAGAGTAGAGGAGAACTACTAACAAAGTATAATTACTCTGATGACAACTGCCAAAGTATGATTTCCCCTCATTACAGAGGTCATTTAATGTCAACAAGGATGAATCTCCTTAATGGAGACACAGACTTAACTTTTCAGACAGACATTCTAACCTTCCTCACTGCAAAACAAAATGTAAACTTAAAGTACCACTTTACTTCAGAATGATCAAATATTGAGGACTGGTTATCATTTCTGTGCTGAAAACAGCTGGTTTCAGTGACACTGTAGCATGCCCTAGGCAATGACACCTACCTGTTAAGGGCACAACCAAACTGCTGCATGCAACAGTCTGTGAGTACACAGCTTTAGGGTCAATTCACAAGGATGATTAGTACGCCCTGCAAATTTCAACAGCAAGAATCTGTGTTCCAGTGTCTGGAATGACAGGTGCATGGTATATAACGCAATGACAAACTGATGGCAGCGATCCGTGATTTTTCACACAGCGGTTACCTGCAGTTAGGGATGATCATGGCTGGACATAACTGTGTCTGGTAGTGGGAACAATCATGAAGAGCTGCGGCCACCAACAGGCTGCACTGTATGGGCTGAGTGGCTCCAGCTCTTCACAAGCACCTCTCATTGCAGACACAAGAATCTGCAGATTGCTGCTGCTGGAATTGTCGTGCTAATCACCCATGTGAATAGACCCTATCACGCCATGAATCGCAAGGGAAATCATACTATATTCTTGTACAGTTCACATCCAATTCAGTATGGTGCAATTTGAGCCCAATCATTTTAAATGAGCTCAAATTAAAAAAAAATAATGGTATCACACCAATGTCGTGCATGCACCAAATTTGAAAATGCACTGCAACCAAATCACATGGTTGTTTGTACCATGTGATGCAATGCAAGCAAAAGCACTGCCTTTGTAACCTGTGCTTGGAGTGTCACTGACACCCACTGCAGATTGCAATGGCAGGGCGATTCTGGGAGGACATTCTGGCATAGATGTCCTCCCAGAACGCACCCCCAGTGCTGTAGGTGAGAAGGTAAAAAAATGGCCAATCACAGTGGTCTTTAACCACGTGATCAGCTGTGTCCATTGACACAGCTAATCACAATGTAAATACAATTGCCGGTTATCGCTGCACTTTCCTCATGCTGTCACAGGGGAGATCTGCACTATCAATCAGTGCCGCCCAGCAGTGCTATCAGTCAGTGCCCATCATTTCTACATATTAGTGCACATCAGTGAAGGAGAACAATTACCTGTTTGCAAAATGTTATAATAGAAACAAAGAAAACCTTGTTTTTCCCCCAAATTTTTTGTTTATAGTGCAAAATAAAAACCCCAGTAGCACCCTAAATGTCACCAAAAGAAAGCTTTATTGGTGTGAAAAGAAAAAACTCCAAACATTTAAATATAGGTACACTGCTGTATGACTGCGCAACAGTCATTCAAAGTGAAACAGCATTGAAAGCTGGCCTAGACAGGAAGGGGGGGGGGGGGGGGGGGTGAGGAATGTGCCTGGTAGTGGTTAATGTGCTGTCAGATGCAAAATTGTGCATGGACCCTTATATAACCAAGAAAATGGACCAATAGAACTTCTATCAAAGCGCTGCGTGTGTATGCTCCTCTTTTGTGAAGTTAGGACCCATTCACACTAGGCACTGCATGTGAATTGAGCTCCTACGCAATCAATTCACATGCAGTTCTCTGCAGTGCAATTTCAGCCCAGGGCCATTTCACACTAGGAATCGCACAGGAACGTGCTGCGTGTTCTTATGCAATTCACAAGCAGCTCTGTGTAGTACTAGTTCAGCCCATCCATTTTGAATGTGCTGAAATCGCACTGCACCAAAAAGTAGTGCATGCCCTCGTTTTGGAACGCACTGTAACTGGATCACATTTGTACCATGCTTTACTGGTGAATTTGTACCATGTTAACCAGTGCAGGCAAACACACGGTTTGCGACCTGCATTTGGGTTGTCATCCAAGATTGCACTGACACCCGCCCCAGATCACAAGGCCAGCAAGTTTTGATTGCGGTTCAGGAAGCCTGTGGCACACAACACAGGCTTCCTGACACTGCATTCTAGAGCGCCTGAAATGCTTTAAAAACAGGAGGAACTGTACAGATGCACCAACTATGCATCCAAGTATATAGGTTTGAGATATTTCGCGAGGCCTCATTCTCCCACCCCCCCCCCAAAAATAAATAAATTTAGCTTTGAGTGGAATTCTTCTGTTGTAAGTGTTAAGCAGTGTAACATGGACATGTACATGGGGGAAGAGCATCAAGCATACCGTGTAAACCTGTGAATAACTGTATCTAGAAGCAGTGCTGTGAGAATAAAAAAGGTATATTATCCTATATACAGATGAGCCACATAAAGAAGGCCATTTGTTCCACAGTGATGTACAAATCCACATTTCTAGAGAAAAACACAACAAAAACATTTAACTAGAAACTAGTAGGCACAGTTTGATTGCTATGCTCCCAAAAAAGTACACATTACATTGTCTACGCAAGTGGCAAAGTGCAAGAAATAAGGTGCAACTGCCCCTTTCTGGAAAGTCTGATCTCATAAGGGCAGCTAAAATGATCAATTCTCTAAACAGAAAAGGTCTGTCGTCTTGAGGCATCTCTCCTGTCCAATGGAAAAATCAAAGGAGTTCAAAAATAGAGATCAATGCTATGTGTAAACTATGACACAAAGGCTGAATTATAAAATTCTCAGACTGGAGCAGGAGTGTTAAGTACATAACTGGGAATAATTTCTCCATTAAAATTACTCCATATTAGTTACGACAGGCTTTAGCCCCAGTCTTTGTAGATCAAAGCATATGAATCGTATTATCTAGGCAAACATTCCAGACAATTGTTATTACCAAAAAAAAAAAAAAAAGACCCCATTTAGAACAAAGAAAATGAAAACATTTCCCATTGGCAAAACAGATACTTATCAAATCTATACAGACACAATGTAACAAAATATGCACATAACAAAAACCTGAGCTAACCCACAATGTGCCTAAGAGGCTGTAAAAGGTTTCACATCTGTCAAATCATATTCTCAGTGGGGAGCCAAAAGGACACAATGATTAGTACCTGAGGAAGGCAGGGCCTTATTCCTCCTTGAAGAGAGAGTGTACATCCTGGCCTAAGATCCAAGGAGCTTCACGGGTCAATATGAAAACCATCGTAGGCATTGCAGGCACTGTTTACCAATGTGGTTATCCCTCAGGCCCCTGCTTCACACTGAAATGTTAGCCTTTTAAAAACATGGTGTTTTTTTTAGGCGCCAATTAAAAAAAAAAAAAAAAAAAAAAAAAAACACACACACTTGTCATCCCTCATAAGTGTTTCTCACCAAAACCTAAACCACATGAGGTGCTGCAGGCATAGATCCATCATCCAAACAAACCCAAAACAGAAACACAACAAAAAAGTGAGTTTTAGTCTTAACCCAACCTCCATCCCTCCCCGTCAGCGTAACCCTTAATTTGAGTTCAACCCCTAAGACTAATGCTCTGCATTACCCAACAAAAAACCCATACCAAAAGAACACATTGGATGCCATTGTTGACTTCCCCTCATGTATAAACAGGAGTCCTAGGCAAAATGGGTTTTCAACAGTTTAATATTTTCTCACTGAACCGAAGCAGGTACGTGGACCAGAAATTCTGGCTTTTAATCGGACTTTACTTCTACCTACTTGTTCTTGGTTAGTGATCCAGTAAACATTTAAAACAAGCAGCCAAGTGACAAACAGCTTACAAAGGTCAGCAATGGCAGCCAACATCTTCTTTGACTTCACCTTAACCCCTAGACCTTAAGCTCAGCAATAATAGAAACACCAATATGTTGAAATTAAATTATCATTCTATCTTCTTTTTAAAAATTGAATGTGCCAAAACAAAAAAATGTATGTCGCAATGTTAACCTTGAGGGCTTCAAATGTCGATATACAATGCACAAAATTATTGGTGCAAGAAACAGAGCCCAAATGCAACTGACCTGCCTTACAATATCAGATTAGTCAGAAAGGTGGAGTCATACTTTAAGCTATGTGGGATCTTACTTTGGTTTCAGCATTTCAATGACATGACAACGTTAGTTCTGTATATTTTCACACGGCAGAAAGAAAAGGGGAAAAGAAAAAATCAAAGGCAAACTTAATAGCTGTGTGAGCGTCACGTCTCCAGTCCTGCTCTATCTTCACGTGTCTGGAGGATGGGGTGAGTTTAGCTATACAATTTAAGCAGCTGATAGCTTTAAGTTCAAAGACCGGCCACTTGCTACCCAGGCGTCCCTCAAGTATGGTGCTGAATTCTATCACACTGCCTTGCCGCAAGCTTAACAGTACTGTTTTGAACTCATTGCTAGCTTTTAGCACAATATCTTTGGTGACATCCTCTTCTTCAAGCGTCCTATTGCCATTTTTACCATTAAAAGGCATACCAACTGATATCTCAAATTTATATCGGTCAAACTTCTTCATATGGCAGGCATATTTTGAGAGGAACTTCAGCCGACACAGTTCTTCCTCTTCAATTGTGACATTCTGTGGATCACAAGAAGGATATGCCTCTCCATAAAGGCATCTCATCCAATCTCCAATTAAAAGTGGGAGCATGTTAACAGCAGACTCTGCACTGTTGTCAATATCAGTAATACGGACATACTTGAACCTCCCAGTCCATGTCACTCTGTGGCCTTCCAAGTGGCTGCACAACAGCTGGGTCCTTGCCATGTTGGTCTCCTTCCACGCCCTTGGGCCGCACAAAAAGCTATATTGCTGCCAGGTCAGGGTGGAATTGTAAACTTTCATTCCCTCAGAGCGGTAGACATAAACCCAACAAAACATTACAATGGCAGTGATCCACACTAATATCAGCTTCACAATGGAGCTTTTAGTAAGAGACTTCACCATTCCCACCACAGAATAGTTGGCTTTTGACCACCAGCGAAGACACAATGGAACAGTCAACAAGACTAGAGTTACTACGATCTTGGTCAGTTCCAGAGCCACAAACCATTTGATAAAATGAACAACACACATGACAGCTATGCCCACTAGGAGTATGGGAAGGGCAAACAGGAACAGGAAATAGCCAATGGATGCACGGATAAGGCCGATGGTAGTAGATTCCCGAAGAATGACAACAGAAAGTTCGCACCACATAAAGCACACCAGGTATGGTATCAGGTAGCAGTACACACCCTTGAAGTTTCTGAGTTGTGCCATCCTGAAGAAGAGGTAAAATAAGTAGATGAAGAGGATGCAGGGGAGGCTTATGTGGAATATAATAAAATGTCCAATAGGTACCCTAAAGAAAGTTTTACTAATCAGGTGAACGTAGGGCACAGATTTAGGCAACAAATTTACAAAGGTGAGAGCTCCCGCAGCTATCTCAGTGATTAGAGCACGGCGGGTGTGGGGATCTGCACTTGTGTTTAAACTCAAATAGCTGGTAATTGTGAAGAAGATCGAGATGATGGCCAACTCTGAACAGGGAATCCAGTGCCGATCCGAGATAGGAAACGAAAATATGACAAAAAAGACCGACATTAAGAAGTATAAATATGGCTCTAAATGGTTCCAGCCAAAATTCACTTCGGCTTGCTCAACATCCAGATTTGGCTCATAGCGGAGAAGCAGATCTGTAAGGGCTCGGAAGTTCTCCCAAGCTTTACTGTTCTGGAAGACCTTAAGGGTGCAGATGACCATGGAGATAAAGGACAAGTAAAAGACAACAAGAGGGATAAAGAAGGCAAAAAAGTCTATGGTGAGATTACTGATGATAAAGAAGAAGATGAGAGCATTGATGTGATGGGTTGGTATAATAGTAGACAGCCAGTGCATCCCAGCCTTTGATGCCACTTCTATAAGATATTCTTTAAGTTCCGTGATGGCGTGGAGTGGATACTTCATGATCTACAGAAACACACAAACATGTGATAACGTTATCCAAGCTCTGCTGTCAGTTCTACTAAATGTTTAATTAGAAGTTTAAAAATTTGGTCTTCCAATACTACACATCTGATTACTACAGTTACCAGGAAACAAGTGATGTTGAATGGACAAATAAAACTAATATTTTATATTTTTCCCATAGCGCAGATACCATCATCTAGAGCACATGGAACCGAGTAAAAAAAAAAGAGCCACGTATTTTAATCTATGCATTCTCAATCTATGGTTTACATTAAGCAGATTACTAACAATTTGTTGATCATTTGGAAAAAAAAAAAAAAAAAAAAACCCACACAACCTCCCTAGATCTGGTTAGAACATATAGCCCAACAGAACACTTATGTCTGACTTGCCTTTTGTTGCAGTGGCAGCTCCCCAGGGCCTTTCCCAGCAAACTCATCATCTTCATCGTCATGAAAGAACAAGTTGGATGGCACAATTCCCTTTGCATATTTCTTTGTAATCTCCACAAAATCGTCTAAGGCAATGTGGCTTTTAGCTGTAAGACCATAGGCAAAAACGCAAACATCAAAAACAAAGCAAGCAAGGATGTCATTACTTAGGAGTTGTTCTAATATAAACAACCCAAATTTTTGTTGTCACACATGCTCTTGTAATGTCTAAATTGAATAAAATAAAACCAAGGTGTAGACCAGTGGTCTCCAAACTGCGGACCAGAGGCTGGATGTGGCCTTTATCCAGCCCTTCAGGCACGCTCTCTACCACTAATACAAGGCATTATTTCTCCCACCAACATCAAAGCATAAATTTCTGTCACAGATACCAACAATAGGGCACTATCCCTCCCACTGACACCAATGATGGAGCACTATTCCGCCCACTGACACCAATGATGCATGGTTTACTCCCATTGACGCTGAGGCATTTTCTACTCTCGCTGGCCACAGTCCAGCCCCCTAAAGTCTGAAGGACAGTAAGTGGCCCTTGTTTAGAAAGTTGAGACCCCTGGTGTAGACACTTCCTTTCCTAGGTGTCAACTCTCACTCAATTAATTTGAAGCATTTAATAAGTATGTAATAAAATTATGCAGCGCTCATATATAGAGATTAACCTGATCGCATTAATTCAATTTAAATTAAGCAAGATTCATGATGAAAATAAAACATTAGAGTATAGAAATATTGAACTCGTGACTTCTGTGATGCATCCAAGGTTGAGAAACCAGAGGGAAGTACGTGACTCTTGTGATGAAAAAACTGAGAATAGCTTGCACTAACCAGATGTCTCAGTACATGGAGCATGGAGTAATTAAGACCTACTCCTGGTACTCTGAAAGGAAGCCACTGCAGAGGATGATGTCATCTTATCTCTCGCCACTAGATGTCATGTTCCCAGGACAGCAGGACAGGGATCACAGAGCTATACATCAGCCAATGAGGGAATTAATCCAGCAAAATCAGTCAGCAACCCACAGGAGACCAAGAGGAATCGAGCACCTTCAAAAAGCCCGGGCTCCCTCCAAAATAAGAGAGCCACAGGCCCAAAAGCTTTGATAGTGTAGTATGTAATTTATTTGTGCAGTAATTACAAAAAGGTAAAACACACTTACAAATCCAATTGCAGGATCATAAGGCTGCTAAATGGTAAGTCCAGACAGTTGGGGGGCACCTTACTGACGCGTTTCGTGTGACACACACGGTTTCAAAGTTTTTTGAGGTTTACTTTCTATGCTAGCTGCTCTTTTAATAAATTTTCTCATCCATATATATATTCATTTACTCATCCGATTAAGTACTAGACACCTAGCGCTGTTGCACTTTATTCCATTTCTAATTTGAAGCATTGTCACCCTCTTGTGCACTCCTAAATTAGATTACAAGCAGTTAGGCCAATGCACGGTGTACTGCAATGTTCTGGTGAAGTCAGTGCAGTAAACGACTTTCAGCCACTGCTAGTGTGCACATATCCACAAGAGACATGCAGTCCTATTTTACCCACAGAGTTCTACAAATTGTCTTTTATTTTTCTACTGAACATTCAAAAAAAAGAAGGAGGAGGAAGGAGGAGGAGGAAGAAGGAGGAGGAGGAAGAAGAAGAAGAAGAAGGAGGAGGAGGAAGAAGAAGAAGAAGAAGAAGAAGAAGGAGGAGGAGGAAACGAAGAAGAAGAAGAAGAAGGAAGGAGGAGGAGGAGAAGAAGAAGAAGAAGGAGGAGGAGGAAGAAGAAGAAGAAGAAGGAGGAGGAGGAAGAAAAGAAGGAGGAGGAGGAGGAAGAAGAAGAAGAAGGAGGAGGAGGAAAAGAAGGAGGAGGAGGAGGAAGAAGAAGGAGGAGGAGGAGGAGGAGGAGGGAGGAAGAAGATTTGTCTAGGAAAGTTTATGGAGGGAGGAAGAAGAAGAAGGAGTTTCTAGGAGGAAAAACATTCAAGTTTAAAAGGAGGAAAAAAAAAAAAAAAAAAAAAAAAAAAAAAAAGAAGAAGGTGTAAGGAACCATTCAAAACCGTTTTTTTTTTTTTTTTACCCCTTATGCCACCCCCCAGAATTACTTCAGTGCACCCCACTACCAAGTCAGGCCTATAGCTCTGCATGTAGCAGGGAACCAGAGGTTTGCCGATTGCAGCAGTCACCCTGCTGAGTCAGTCTGACATGCAAAAGACACCACTGTTTCCACACAAACAGCAAAGGTCCTCATGTACAAGACATGAATAGAGACTTACAACATTTAATAGGAATATTCACTTGTACTTTACATTTGTCAACACACAGAATCCCATTCAATATGGCAGGCTAAGCTAAACACTGTAGGTGACCCTAAAGTTAAACTAAGGGCAAAACACACAAAACACACTCCCCTTCTTCCCGTCCTGGCCATTTTTCGGTGCTGTGATTGTTTGACCGGGAATTACTCAGTCATGCAACACTGTGCCCAAATCAATTTTATATATATCTTTTGGAGACTGATACAGCGCTCTATTGATGACACTTATCTTCAGTGGGTGACTTTATTTAGTGAAAAGTAAAAAAAACCAGTGGTTAAGTGTATGTCTTCTATTAGTGGAAGTTCCCTGTAGGATGAAATTGTACAGAGTACAACATCAAACGCTATACACTTTACGAGACTCTGGTGGGCTGGGGGTCCCGGACCTCAGAAAATACTATAGGGCGGCTCAGATAACCCAATTGGTTGATAGGAAGTAGAGTACATTTGGAACAGAGTGGATAGCCTTGGAGGCACAGGCTTGCGCACCTCTCCACATCAATCTTTTAATGTGGAATTCCCCCAAGAATTGAAGGGCAATCCTCTTCCCGACGTGGTCTCATTCACTGCATTTAAGGGATTCTTCCTGCAAACTGGCTGCACTTCACCCCCCCCCCTCCCCCCCCCCCCCCCCCCCCCCCCCCGTTCCCCTGTAGCACCAATATCACTCCACCCCCCCATTCCCCTGTAGCACCAGTATTTGGCAACCCAGAGTTTCCCCCTAGTCTTCACCCACGGGAATTCCAATGGTGGATAAATAAAGACCTACCTATATCATGTGGGACATTTTCTGCATCATAAGAGGATACACTCCACTACATATTTTTTTTACAACAGCTTGGGATACTTGACACTGAACGTTACCATCTGCAACAAATTCTCCATTTTATTTGCTCCTTGCAACGGAACACCGTTGACATTACCACACAAACAGCTTTTGAAAATAGAGGTTTCCGTGGCAAAGTTCAGAAGGGGGGGGGGGCGCATCATGAGCCTGTATAAACAGTTTGTCTCCACTTCAAGTAAACTTCCATATAGGCTTGCCTGGGAAAAGGACATGGGTGAGGACTGGAGAGACTGGACTCTTAGAATACATAAAGGCATTATGAATGTCTCCCTCATAGAGGCAGGCTATAAGGTCCTCTCACATTGGAATTTGGTCCCACAGATTGTTGAGAATGTACTCTGGCTCCTCCTCCATTTGTTTTAGGGGATGTTGGCAAGTGGGAATGTTGTTCCACATACGGTGAACATGCCCTAAAGTTAAAAAGGTACTGGGTGCAAGTTTATTCCCTGATCTTCACGGTGACCATGATTAGAGTCATAACAAAAACCAGAACTGCGCTGCTTAATGAAACCATAGCTGGAGAGTCTCCAGATCCACTCAGACCTAATCTATTTTATGCTCCTGGCAGCCAAAAACTGCAACTTGACCTTGATCCACGAGAGTTACACTTCATCAACGCTAACGAAAAAATGGTCAGCATCCTATGAGATACCTCTACCAGGTTTGAGCAAGTCTGGGAACCCATGGATTAGTTACATACAAATTACATCTTAAATAACAATTCCTTTCACTTTGCTGGAATGGACGGCCTGTTGTGTGGGTGACTTATGGCTCTTTTGGCTTTCCTTTACTCCCTTTTCCTTTTTTCTACTCTTCTTTCCTCACTTTGCCCTTTGATGCACTGATGTCATATTATGACTTAAAGACAAACTGCGTAGAACCCGGTTGTTCTTGTGCCCAAAGTGGAGTGGAGCTCTGGTGAATTTTTGGACTGCTCCCGTAGAGTCAGCATTTACATCCCTTTATTCCTGTTTTTGATCTTTTCTAGTACTTCCGTTTCGAAGGTGGATTGGAATATTTGGATTCGCTACACCTACTTTACACGTTGTTAATGTATACTACTTTTATTTCATCTGTGTCTCGCCTGCGTTGCGAGCTCTATTAGGCATGGCCATCAAGGGCCTCTGGCTGTATCGTTACCTATTTTCATGTTAATTTTTCAATAAAAACATTGGGAAAAAAAAAAAAAAAATCGTCAGTCTATCGCATTTTAACCTCCATTCTCCCCAAATAATCCAAATTTAATGGATGGTCAGGGCATTTCAAAATTACACCAATAAACCCACAACAGTGGCCCTTTAACTGCCCCAACCCATGATCACAGCCTTTTCTGCACAAGCCAGAATATATTTATTCATTAAATCCTCCTCTGTAGTGCGAGGCTGGGAAGGGATCATCAAAGATGTATGTGTATATCCACCCACAGACCAGCCATTGAAATAATTGGTCTTAGGGAAGTGAATATTGCCTAGCAGGGGCACATGTATCACACCCCTGCCTGGACAAAGTTACAAATCTTTTGGCAAATAAAACCATCATATATACTTAATTCAACTGTGTAATCTGTTGTGCTCGCTTTTAAAAACCATTAAATTCTTTGACACCCGTGTATCCTGTATAGTGAAATAGGAATATAAAATCTGAAAAAAAAAAAAAAAAAAAAAAAAACACACACACACACACACACACCTCACACCATACCATTAGAATTATGAACCCAAACTCTTTCAGGTCTACTTTTAAATAGATGATTCTTACATTCGCTGCTGACTAAGCGCTCCAGGACTCGGCGCTCCTTCTGGGTAGACTTAGGAATCGGGCCTGCCTGTAGCTCTCCATCTGTAACACAAGGTATAAAAGTTTACCACCCATCAGAAGCTAATTTAGAAGACCTTTCCATACTGAAAACCAGGCAAATTTTAGAACCAGAAGTTTGCAAATGGTTTCATGTAATGGAGAAAAAAAAAAAAACAAAAAAAAAACACACACACACAACACACACTTTTGCGCATAGTAAAAACTCTTATCAGAAAGAAAAGTTCCACTATGGGTACAGTTTTTTTTTTTATCTTCACAACACCATGACATGATACTAAATGTTCCATGTAGCAGACATTGAGGTTCTGTTGTAATCGTTTGTGGTATGCAGAGCTCGAATATTTGCCATGTCACAGTTGGCAGCCTCCTCTCAATTGCAAAAGCCACATTATGCTAAATTTTTCAAGCATTTACAAGCTTTCCAAAAGGACAGTATACAAAAACAAACAATCTGGTGTATTGCAAACTATTAACTAGTTCACATCCAAAGTCTGCACATTAATGTTGTGGGAGATTCAAGAAGAGCAGGATCGGGGCTGCTCTGTGCAAAATCATTGCACAGAGCAGGCAAGTGTGTTTTTTTTTTTTTTTTTAAATGTTTACAAATACCTTTAACAGAACACAGCATCTATAGCATGATGCAACTTGTCTCCCTACTTCAGAGAAAGGCTATAACCTCTGTCTAACCTAGGAGCATTATGAGGATAATATTGGAAAACTCATCCTACTGTCATTACATGGGGTCAGTCATAGAAAGAAGAACAGTTCCCAGTACTACCCATGTCTGTTGGGCCAAGTCTTCAGACGATTCCACATTTGAAGCAGCAAAACCATAATTACTGCCAGGGCTACATGTCAAACATTTACCATTTTGTGCTAGTAAATTGAGAAGCTTCAGCTATTGTACAACTTTCATTTACAATCTTTTTAGATGCCCTCCTCAATAAAAAAAAAACAAAAAAAAAACAAACAAACACAGTACTAGGCTATTGTCACAATCAGGACTCAAATGTAATTCTGTATATCCATGGGTAGGTTAGGTCTTCAATTAACTATTTCAATAAGATTGATTTTGTATGCAGATTTGTATTTGTTGGAACATAACCGCATATATAGTGGAGCAAAATGCATAACATGCAAGTTTAAGTTAACCAACAATAAATAGAGTAACTGAATATTTAAATTTTAAAAAAGGTATAAAAGTAGAAATAAATGTAGAAATTAAAAACACCCGTCCTGTTATTTGCACCTTTATGTAACTGGGGAAAATTCTCCTTCACTTCCTGTCGACGACGTCACAGGTAGTGAGTGAGGCTGCCCCCAAAACAAGTGTTCCTAATGAAGATTTCCTTCACCTCATACTCTGGTGAGAACTAAAAATGTAGAATTTTCCATCATTTTAGGTCTCTGTAACAATGATCACCAGAACATATAGAAAGGATCAAATTCCCCAGTAGGTGCATAGACAGCAATAAAAGCGGACGGGATTTTAACCCTTCTCCAACTCTATGCAAATAAAAAAACTTTTGGCTATACATATGCTTTAATTATAAAATAACGATATAGCTTTAGTATCACATCTTTGTGCCATTTCTGTAGTCTAGAATAAATCAATCCCACATTTTCTTTGCTTTTAAAATGCAGTTTATTGCTGTTAAGTGGTTTGTTCTAGGAGAGAGAGAGGAGAGAGCGAGCGAGAGAGCGAGAGAGAGAGCGAGAGAGCGAGAGAGCGAGAGAGTCTGAGCGAGAGAAAGAGAGAGAGAGCGAGAGAGAGCGAGAGAGCGAGAGAGAGAGAGAGCGAGCGAGAGCGAGCGAGAGAGAGAGAGAGAGAGCGAGAGCGAGCGAGAGAGAGGGGGGGCATAGAGAGAGAGAGGGGGGGCATAGAGAGAGAAGGGGGGGGGGAGGGAGAGAGAGAGAGGAGGGGGGGGGGAGGTGAGAGAGGAGTGGAGAGGGGGGGGATGGAGAGAGAGAGGAGGGTAGGGAGATGAGAGAGGGGGAGGGAGGGATTGGAGAGAGAGAGGGGGGGGAGAGAGAGAGAGGAGGGGGGGGAGGGTGAGAGAGAGGAGAAGGGGGGGGAGGGAGTGAGTGAGAGGGGGGAGAGAGAGGTGGGGGGGAAGAGAGAGAGAGAGAGAGGGGGGGAAAGAGACGAGAGAGAGGGAGAGGGGGGGAAAGAGAGAGAGAGGAGGGTGGGGGGGAAGGAAGAGAGAGAGAGAGGAAGGGGGGGGCGGAAGGAAGAGAGAGAGAGGGAGGGGGTGGAAAGAGAGAGAGAGAGAGGGGGAGAGAGAGAGAGAGAGAGAGAGAGGGGGTGGAGGGGCTCGAGAGAGAGAGAGAGGGGGGAGAGGGAGAGAGAGAGAGAGAGAGGGGAGGGAGAGAGGAGAGAGGTGGGGGGAGAGAGTAGGAGAGAGAGTGAGGGAGGGGGGAGAGACGAGAGAGAGGAGGGAGAGAGAGAGGGAGGAGAGAGAGAGAGAGAGAGGAGGGAGATGAGAGAGAGAGATGACGAGAGGGGTGATGGGAGAGAGGAGAGAGAGAGGGTTCTGGAGATGGAGAGAGAGAGAGTAGGGTGAGGGAGAGAGTGGGAGGGGGATGAGGAGAGAGAGGGAGGGGGGGGAGTGAGAGAGAGAGAGAGAGAGGGGGGAGAGAGAGGAGACGGAGGGACGGGGAGAGAGAGGGGGGAGAGTAGAGAGATGAGGAGGGAGAGAGAGAGGGGGGAGAGGAGGGGAGAGAGGGAGGGAGAGAAGAGGGGGGAGAGAGAGAGAGAGGGGAAGAGGAGAAGGGGAGAGGAGAGGGGGAGAGGGGGAGTGAGAGGGGGGGGAGAGGAGATGGAGGGATGGGCGGGAGAGAGGGAGGGGGAGAGAGCGGAGGGAGAGGGGGGGAGAGGAGGGCACGCGCTAGCGCGCTCTCCTGAAAGGGAACCTTGCACAAATTCTTTACCATCAATCAGGGAAGTGATAAAATCTCCTTTTCCTTCACGATCTTTGATGTGAACACCCTAAGGAAACTACCATCCACCCCTTGACGCAACTTCACATCAGTTGGGCTCAAACAAGCATGCAGAAGACATTACAGAGTTCTTAAAGGGGGACATTGCCAATTATAACTGAGAATTCTCTTTATTTCACATCTAATACTTGTTATCCAGCTTTGGAGGACTGACAGCGAGTTTATCTGTTATTGATAGTCATTCCTGCACACTGGGGATTCAACAGTCCTCTCAGATTGGAAGAGGCAGCAGATTATTTCTGAAAGCAGGCCTGCGAATAGCAAATATCACTCTTGGCAATTGTGAGCAAAAGTAACATTCACAATGAAGCAACAGTGACTGTCTAGAGCAGTGTTAATTTCTTACTTCCAATTCCGATATAAACTTTAAATTTGGTTTATACTACTCTGTGTGCGAGTCCATTTTACAGGTGTGATTTTATTTGGGTCACCAGAGCATGGTGATGTCAGTAGAGGTTGGGCTTTCAACAAGAGGTCCGGATTGACAGGGAACCCACAAATTACTAAGCAACCCTTAAGGGGAGTAGTGTTACACATATAGAAGGGATACACCGCTCTATATGATGTACTAACAGTAGTATATTCACATAGGAGGAAGGCGGCATCACCAAAAACACAGCAAAAACATTTATGCCTTTTTACCAACCTTCAGCATTGACATGGCCTACGTTCTCCAGCAGCTCAGACATGGAGAGCTGCTTTTTCTTTGTTGGGTTTAGTTTCCAATACATGACCAGTGCTGCTTTTCTCACAGCCCTCTCTAAATCGGTTTCTCTGAGGATAGCTTCTTTACTTCACTCTCATTCTCGTTTGTGATTCCTGGATGAAGACAATACAGGGGAGTATATCTGTAATATAACATCTGCATCTGGGGGATGAGCACTCACACTGGGAGACATGTCACAACATTTTGTACCAGTAAACACATACTGTATTTCTACGTTGTTCAATCAGTTCTTTAAGACTGCGTCAGAATTCATTCACAACCTGGAATTGTAGACATTGGTTTAAGCCTCATGCACACTGGGCTCTCATGAGATCCTGGTATTTTGGTGCAGGAGGATCATCCACCCTTGCTACCGGTAGCCTGTAAAGCATTGAGAGGCTGAAAGCTGCTGGGGCTGGATGGTACCCTAAGTAAATACTAATGTTTAGAGAAGTATGTGCCCAGAGGTGAATGCCCTGAATGGAAGCAGTTTGCCTCCTGAGTAATCTTCCCGGGGCACATACTGCTCTATAAGCTAAAACCACTTAATGCATCATCCAGCCCCAGCAGCTTTCGGCCTCTAAAAAGGCACATACAGAAATGATGAGAATATTGGACAATGATCATCCGTTTATTTTTGCATGCTAGTCTCATATTGGTTGATAAGGTTACTAAAGTTACGAAAATTCTCGTAGGACAGAACAATTCAGAAGTGATGTCATGTAATATATTTCTGAACAAAAACTGTACTGATTAAAACAAAAATCTGATGATCTGGTATCGTACGAGAAAAAAAAAAAAAAAAAAAAAAAAGGTTTGTGCTGGTCTCTTCAAATAAATTTCAAACATAAATGGTGTTGTACCAATCATCAGGTTATCATACGGTCACTTTCAAAGCAGTAGTTTTTTTGTACGATTTTCTGATTGGGTGTACTAGGCTTTAGAGTTTTACAGGCAGCAGGGCTCGATGGTGCAACTGTGGCTTCCACTCGCACCATAACGCTGGGATCTCATCATCCAGGCTAAGCACCCAGTATGCATGAGGCCTTATGACACTGGCTTCAGATCTGGGGGTCACAGAGCAGAGGCAGTCAGTGACCTGCACTAGCCAGGAAACATTGGAACTGTGCTCAACTGAGGCTGTATTCACATTTGAGCGATTTGTAGCCTGATGCTCAAAGCTCCAAAAACACTGAAGTTTGGAAAAAAAAAAAAAAAAAAAAAAGCCCACACATACACACCACCACAACAAACCTTGTTCTCTGTGGTGCTTGTTCGCGCAATGCGATCGTAGCTTCAAACTTCAAATCGCTCAATTGTGAATGCAGCCTAAGAGCCAACTCAGTTTACCACAATGAGAGTTTTATGCAATCTACTACAACAAGCTCACATGCTGGTTCTTGTCACATTATTCTGGGCTGTGCAGTTTATCTCATATTAGCCATACACCTTACAATATGTTAGAACTATCCATCACACAATCAGATAATATGACCAAATTAGGAGTTAGTGAAAAGACACATACCGGGCCATTGATCAATATTGAGCGAAACTGATTGATTTCAGCAAAATAGATGTAGATAGATCAATAGGATTGTTAAAAGAACTAGAAAAGGTACAATTTCTGGGGAAATTGTGTGAAGTGTTCTTGCATCCAACCCTAACCAAGTGATTGATGAAATGTAAGCAGTGCACATGGCAAGCCTGATAGAGTGAGAAATGCATTTGAACTTTTATTTTGCAGCTCACAGTCTGCCTGGTGAGTCATCTTTGGTTGCTATAGCAACTCAGTCAGTCACAGGAAGCTGAGAGCTTTTCTAAACACACTGCTCCAACTTGCCAACTTCACTGGCGATTGCCATCTTCAAACACTTGTAGTTTTTTAAAAGTATAAATACTACTGTGAAGAGCTTTATATTGTGAGAATCACGAGACCCAGACCTACATTTTGATGCATTGTATGTCTCTGAAATATTAAAAATGAAGGCACAGTCACAGTTTAAAAATGGCCCTTGAAATTTCAGGTGTCTAGAGTAAAGATTCAATGAAAGTCAATGGGTGGCATGAGTTGCAAACAAATGGTCATATTGTGAAAACTATCAGGACTATGGCTTAGCCGTGAACATTTGTAGTGACAGCAGGGTTAGCTGAACGTTTTGATATAAGATATGTGTAGGTGGTCTTGAAATGAGGGAAGTGATGGCAGTTTACAAATCATGTCCTGATTTTTCCTTCCCACACTCTAGCTTTGTCAGCTCTCACTCTAGTTGCTCCATTCATTCCTATGGGAAAATTTCACCACAAAAAACGCGATATTTTGTGAACCATTCGGCGATACGTTCCACAAAGTAATAGCAATCCGATCGAAGAAACAATCCGCACGTTTTGATATATTACTTGTCTTTGTAGTGTAAAAACTGTGGGAGGAGTTAGCGTGGCAAATTTGGCTATAATAAGAATATATTTTGTGAGATAACAATAAGTGTTCTTGCAAGAACACTTAATAAAACACACACGATAAGCGAACTTCAGTTATTTTAGGTGAACGCTTGTGCCGTCGGAATTGAAGACAGGCTGGAGACCCGGCCTAAGGGAGAGAGCAGAGAGCAGGGTTGCCGAGGAAACGAGGAGGCTCAGCTTGACCACGTGTCAGCCGCAGAGAAGTACTGGGTAGGGGAAAAAGCCGGCCGGTGTTTACAGGTGAGAGGAAGATGCCGGTTTGCTCCCCTTCCAGTACATGAGACACTCATATTGGGAGACGTGTGCAGCAAGATGCCTCCCCCCCCCCCCCCGAATGGAGGTGACTTTGTTACAGGGGAGTGAAAACGAAGAGACACGGAGGAAACCCCCCCCCCCCCCCCCCCCCCCCCCCCCCCCCCCCCCCAAAGAGAGCTATGGAATGTGACAACCGAGGAACTTGCTAGTGCTGCAGCTGTGTGAGGGTGAGTGAGAGCAGCCTGGATGGATTATTGTGATGCATAAATGACTGTTTCTGTTGTCTAAAGGGAAAAAGGAGTTGTGAGAGGGGGTTTCCCTGGGGGGGTCTGACGAAGAGAAAGGAGGAAATTAAAGAAGCCTGGAAAGGAGCACTAAGTAGAGAACTGGGAAAAAAAAAAAAAAAAAAAAAAGAGAAGGAGTCCCTGATATATATTTTTTATAAATCTTTGTGTTTCCCCTATTGAAGAAAATAAAAAAAAACGCATAGAAGAGATGAAAAATAAAAATGTTAAAAATAGTGGCCCAAAGGGGTCTCAAACTGGCACGATAAAAAAACACACATCAAGGAAATGTGACTCCAGATAGATCTCAAAGCGTTGGTGAAAAATGTGAACTGGAAATGAGTATAGAAGGTAACCCTAGACTCTCCCTGGGAAAAGAATATAACAGTCAGCATCTTACAGAAAAAAATGGAGATGAGAGATACTGAAAGTGAATTACAAATTCCAAACAAGAAAGAAATGGCAGATATGTTCAAGAACCTAGAAAAAAACATTAAAACATGAAATGACAAGTATTACAAAATGATTTGGGCCAGATGCCATTGAGGGTGGAGGAGACAGAGGAAAGAGTTAAAAGCCATGCTCAATATATTTCTGATCTGGAGAAAAGGACAATGGAAATTAAGCAAGATCAAAAAAAAAGCTGTTATACAGAATGGAAGTACAAGAAAACAGGGAAAGGAGAAACAACATTAGGGTGAGAGGAGTTCCGGAATAGGTAAAGGGAGAAGAAACACGAGGCCTTATCTGTAAAATATTAAACTCCATTATGGATAGATCAGAAACAGAAAAAAAGGATTAACCTGGAAGGTGTTTTCAGGAAAGAAAAAAAATCAGCAAGGAAGTGGAAAAAGAGAAACCAAGAGATATAATAGTCCAATTTCAGAAATGGGCGGATAAAAAAAAAAAAAAAAAAAAAAAAGCATGGAAAAAGATTAAGGGAAGATCAAGTATTAATTATGGAGAAATGAATATACAGATTTTTGCAGATTTAACACCGGAGACACTATGGAGGAGAAGAACTCTAAAACCTGTTAGAGCAGATGATAAAGCAAAAGGTACACTATAAATGGGGTAAAGCCGGAGTGCCTAATTGGATGGAAGAACGGAGTTTACAGTCCAGTTGAGATTTCCTGAGGACTTAAGAGACTTCTGTGATAGACTAGAATTACAAATGATGGAGGTCCCTGGTTGGGTGGTGGAAGAAGGTGGTGAGGAGAGGGAGGAGAGGGAGGAGAGGGAGAGAGGGAGAGGGAGAGAGAGAGAGGGGAGTGGCAGTTTGCTAGAAGGGGGAGATAGAGAATTGAGGGAGGGCGCTGGGTGGGAGAGAAAATAAAAAAAAAAATATAAAAACTTTTTTTTTCTGTTCTTTTCCTCTCATTCCGCTTGACGCCACCCTCTCTCTCTCTCTCTCTTTTCTCCTTTGGGAACCTTAAGAAAGGTGGAACATATTGAATTGACGACGGAAATAGTTTTGGGGTAACTGAGGTGGTGGGAGGTGTGGGGATCTGTCCATGGTTGAAGTTCAACCCCAAGGAGGTATCTATAGAGCAGCATCAGTGGCTTTCTCTACAGGAAACGCATTTTGAACTGAAGTCAAATGTAAAAAGTTGAATTCTAGATATTACCCGTTATGGTACTATGCAGATTCCCCGGTTAAGAGAGCAAAGGGGGTAGCTATAGGATTTGCAAAAGAAGATAGAAGGTTCGAGTTGGAAGAGAGAGAGAGACAGACCCGGAGGGGAGGTTTTTATTTCTAAGAGGTAAAATACAAGACATTGAATGTACAGTTGCTAATATTTATTGCCCTAATAAGAAACCGGAGATATTCCTGAAAAGAATTTTAAAAAGATTGATGGATTTTAGAAAGGGGTATTTGATAGTAGCTGGGGACTTTAATTTATGTATGGACCCACAAATGGATACTACTACTTCATCTATACAAAAGAGAGAGGGTAGTAAGTCCCTAAGAGTACTAAAGAAAGAGATAAGGGAGTATCAGCTAGTGGACGGTTGGAGAATTATGCACATGAATGATAGAGACTATTCCTTCTTCTCAAGGGCCCATGAGATGTATTCTAGACTGGACTACATACTGATAGATCACCGATTAATAGAGTCTTTGGTTAGAGTGACAATAGAGGTAAGGTCACTCTCAGACCATGCCCCGGTTGTAATGAAAATAGGATAGGGAAGAAAGCCTCCAGGTGGTTTGATGTGGCGGTTGAATGAGTCTCTCCTAATGGATCCAGAGACTGAGCAAAAGGTTGGAGAGGAAATTAAGAGATATTTTGAGGAAAATGAAACGGGAGAGATATCTGAGGCTACAGTGTGGGGAGGCCCATAAGGTTTACATAAGGGGAATTCTTATTGCAATTGGGGCTAGAAAGAAAAAAGGGAAAGGAGAGAGAAGATCAGTAGGCTCCTAAAGAACTGGCGGATGTTGAACAATTGCATAAAAAGAACGAGAGAGAGATAATGCAGAAGGTAAAGGAAAAGAAAGAGGAATTAGAGATTATGATGGAGGAAGAGAACAAGAGAGTTTTTAACAAAGTATTATGCGAAAGATATAGATGGGGGGATAAATCAGGAAAGTTTTTGATGAGAGCTTTGAGGAAAAAAGAAAAATAGGAATTACATAGAGAAAATAAAGAACCCCAAGGGAGAAACTGGTGCACTCAACTAAAGATATTGTGAAGGTGTTTAGGGATTATTATAGCAAACTTTATAATATTGCTCCTCAAGATTCAATATGTAAAGATGGAATAATAAACGTAGAAAAAAGAATATATTTAAAAAAGGCAGGACTACCGAAATTAAATGAAGATCTTTTGAATTCCTTAGAATCTGAAATTACTTATGAAGAAATAAAGATAGCAATAAAAAAAAAAATTCTATGGATGATAGGTAAAAGCCCAGGGCCAGATGGATATACTGTTAGATATTATAAAAAAATATAGTGAACCATTAATACCTAAATTGAAGTCCTATTTTAACGCCTTGGGAGAAGAGATGGATATGAGACGAGAATCACTGCAGGCTCAGGCGGGTCCTCATATACGAAGAAGGAAAAGATCCCACCCAATGTTCAAGCTATAGACTAATATCTTTAATAAATATAGATACGAAGATTTATGCAAAGATTTTAGCAAATAGACTGAAAGATTTAATGCCCGAATGGATACATGAGGATCAGGTGAGTTTTGTTCAGGGGCGAGAGGGTAGAGATAATGGGTTGAGATCACTGTTGCTTATCCAGAAAAGTAGAAAGGGAAGGTCGCCAGCGGTGGCTCTCTCAGTGGATGCAGAGAAGGCATTTGATAGAGTCAATTGGGGATATATGATGGATACATGGAGATCTTAGGAGTGGGTGATAGAATGAGAACTTGGATAGGAAAGTTATACAAGAACCCGTCTACAGTGGTAAATGGTAAATGGGGAGCTATCGGAATCTTTTGAGATGACAAAACGGAACAAGACAGGGCTGCCCACGATCCCCATTGTTATATGTTCTGTCCTTGGAATCATTACTAGCAACAATAAGGAAAAATGTAGACATAAAAAGGAATACGGGTGGGAAATATAGAACACAAGGTTGCCGCATTTGCAGATGATTTATTGTTTTATGTAGGAAATCCTAGGATAACGCTCCCTAACTTAATGAGGGCTTCGAAGGAATATGGAGAGATGTCAAACTTAAAAATTAACCTGTCTAAAACAGATATTAAATATAAACCTTCCAAATAAAGAAAAAAAGGGGGATACAAGGGGAGTTTCCCTTTGTGTGGAGAGAGAGAGAGAATTGAAGTATTTAGGGGTAAAAAACTCACTTCGGCCTATAAAAACTTGTATAAAGCAAATTATATAGTAATGTTAAACGAAATTAGAGAGGAATTAAAGAGATTAGGGGGAGGAAAATCGGTCCTGGTTGGGAAGTATAAATTTGATAAAAATGGTTGTAGTTCCCAAAATTCTATATAAATTTCAAATGGTCCCTATTAAGCTTCCTGAGGTATATTTTAAGATACTGAAAAAGATGATGACAAGACTCATTTGGAGAAATAAAAAAACTAAAGTATCTTATGAAGTGATAACTAGAAATAAAGAGAATGGTGGATTGGGAGTCCCTGACTTTAAGAGATATTATAATGCAGTTATTTTGGCTAGAATATTTGATTGGACATATAATGCAAAAGGGAAAAGTTGGGTCACAGTGGAAAATTCACTTAGTGGTAATAATTTAAGTAGGAGTATATGGGTGCCTACAAAGTATAGAGGATTCAAAGAAAGCACGAGTGTGTATACTTTAAATGTGTTAAGAGTGTAGGATAAAATGCACAGACAGTTAAAGTGGGAATTTAATTCATTACTGATGCCATTGAAAAATTCAGGGTTCTTCCCACCAGGTAGGGAGGAGGTTTCAGGAAAATGGATCACGAATGAGAATGCCCAATTGAGAGATATAATGAAAGGGTTAGAACTGAGAACACTTAAAGATTTGAAAAAGTAAGAGGGAAAGATTTTCACTAGGATAGATGGTTGGAGATATAATCAATTAAAATGTTTTGTGGGGAAATTGCCTAAGCCTTTGAGAGCGAGTATAGATTGGAACTTGTTTGAGAAGTTGTTGGGATCACGAGGTGATGGGGAAACACGGTACGGCAAGGATATATAAAATTCTCACCGAGTTAGATATAGGTGGAAAAAAACTAATGTATATAGAAAAATGGGAAGGAGATTAGGGTGTGGAGATAGATGAGGTTAAACAAAAAAAGAATATTTAGGTTGGTTCATGAGAATATAAAGCTCACGGGAGGTGTGAAATGAATTTTAAATGATTGACAAGAGGATATATCACACCAAGTATAGAACATAAGATGAGTGGGGAGAAGTCACCTTTTTGTTGGCGGGGGGTGTGGAGAGATAGGCATGTTTTATCACATATGGTGGGAATGTCCAAAGATACAAATATTCTGGAGAGAAGTGCTACACCAAATTAGAAAGATTACGGAAATTGATATTAGTCTGGACCCTGGAACCTGCCTTTTACATAATACAGAAATAACAGTAAATAAATATAAAGAATCAGGAACATGGTATTTTCTAAATGCAGCCAAGGGATTGATTCCAAAATTTGGCGTCAAGTAGAAGCTCCAAAAAAAAAAAAAAACAAGACTGGATAGTTAGAATGGACTATATTGTAAGATTAGAGAAACGGTTTTATACCCAGGAAGATGGTATGGGGATATATCAGGCGAAATGGAAAAAAATGGGAAGAGTTTAGATCAAGGGTGTGAATGGACGAGAAAAAGGCCTCTCTTTTTCCTGCCCCCTTATGGTGAGAGCACGATTTAGAGCCTCTTTTTCTCTTGCCAAAGAGCGGTAGCTGTAGGGTGGGGTGGGAGGTGACTTTGGATTTGCTAGTGGGGGGATTGGGAGAAATAAGGAAAATATGGGAAATTAATGTTTAAATTAGATATTGTTGTTATATGAATGTAGAGAATTTATATTGTGGATTTTAAATTTCCTAATATTTTGAAAATCAAACATTTAAAAAAAAAACAAAAAAAAAAAAAAAAAACAAAAAAAAAAAACCACAAAACACTGAGGGGCATTTGGAAGCAAAAAAAAAAAAAAAAAAACCCCTGTGTACATGAGACAAAGTGTTGGAGGATTTTTAGAAGACAGAGTTCTCCTTTAAAATACAAAATTGTTTACAAGGATACAGTCAGGCTGTAATGAGAAGTTCCAAGTCATCAAATGAAAAGTGAGAAGAGGCCTGCTATAAGAGGAATACACCGTATAGCCATTATTAGCGCAAAGAAAACTGCAGTGTAAACTCACCTCTTCTGTCTGCCAAGCATCTCCGCAGAAGCTTCACCGCGTCCCTTCGACCTTGCTTGGCAGATTGGACAAGCCAGTCTACCGCAGCGCAGCTGTTCACTTCTTCATCCTGCTCCTCAGCAAGTTTTAAGTAGTATTTTCCTACCTGAAACAGAAAAAATAACTTCAGTGGATAAATACAGGATTCTACCAGATTTACATCATACCTTTAACTTAAAAGGAGAAGTTCACCTTTGGGAACATGTTACATGGTCTGCCTGTCAGAGGGAGGTGGGCTGCATCTGCGGTTATGGGAACAGGTTACATGTTCCACCAAAAAAAAAAAAAAAAAAAAAAAAAATACGGGTGAACTTATCCTTTAAGCCTGCCATATACAGATCAAAAAATGCAGCCGGTTCAGCATTCTATCAAATGACTTCAGTACAACAAACTGGTCAGGTTTTTTTCAGCATTTGATCACTGTCAGCTGCTATAGCCAGCAAAAAGCGATCATTGTATTCTGGCTGCGGGGAAACCTCTCGCCGTCAGAATGACTCAGCATGAGGATTCCCCCATCAACACTGACTGTGTTAATGGGGGAAATCAAACAATTTTCTGTCTCAACCCACTGTTGAAGGAAACAAAAATTGCACATTGTATGGCCCTACCTTAAGACTTTTAAGACCACATAGTACATAAAAAGATACGGTTTGTTCACAGAAGGGCAACTGTCTAAATGTTGCAAAATTTGCCTTACAGCAGAAGAAAAAAAAAAAAAAAAAAAAAAAAAAAAAAAAAAAAAAAAAACACCACGCACACTACTTTCCTGCATGCCCCCACCCTCCCAGATCAGAAGGATCAACTCCATGAAAACAGAATTTCCTTGTTTTCCAAATTGTACTCATCACACTAGTTATTAATAGGTGCTGGAAGATCATCAGGGCCTTCACAGGATTGTTTTTGCCATTACTACCTCATTTGGTAAAGCATTCCACATCTTAACCACTCTGACTGTAAATATCTCCTCCCTAAAAAAAAAAAACCCCTAAAAATGTGAATCTGAACACACAGTACAGTTACCCTCATGAGAATGTATTTTATATGCCCATTAAAGATGCAATGCCAAGAACGCTGTGCATGTCTCACATGACTGACATTTTTCCAGGACAGGAACAGAAGGTCACATGTAGGGTGATAAAAAGAACTTGCTGGTTTCTTACAAGTCAAAGAAACTACTGACATGATTTAAACAAAACCCATGTGGAAAGAGTTCAGAGACATCGTGCAGACTGCGAAGAGGACACACAGGCAAAGTTACATTCAGGTTTACTCCATATCGACGTACTAAATCCTCTGCAAAGTACAATGTCCTGCATCAAGCTGAATTTCACATCACTGAAATCAAATCAATTAAAAAGTTAAATTGAATAATCGTGTATTAGGCGGTTTTCAATTGAACTTTTTAACTGTCTGGATTTCAACTGCATCAAAACAAAAAAGGTTTGTAAAGTCTTAGCTTGTTTTCTTTAGAAAGCAGCCACAAAAGTAGAAAAGTCTGTTCCCTGCCAGCATGCTGTAGAGAAGGAGCCTTGCTCTCTGCAAAAGTCTGACATGTCCTCTGCAAAGTCAGAGCTCTTCAATCAGCAAGAGCCATGAGCGTTGCAGACCTATGGGTCTGCCTCAGCAGGGGGCATGTTGTACCTTTGCAGACAGACCACTGCCACCACACAGTCCTGCTCAGCATGCTGACAGGGGAGCAGGCGTTTCTACTCAGGCTGTGGCTGTTTTCTGAAAAAGACAAATCATAAGGCCTCATTTACATTTACGGTTGGCAAACAGGGGGGGGGGGGGGGGGGGGGGGGCGGTAAAAATACACGATTGACTGGCATTACCGCTCTCCCTTCACCTGCAAAAATAGGAAAAATAGGGATGCACACATGCAAAGCATTACGACGTGGCAAAAAATTATCCCCCCCCCCCCATCATGTTCAGCAAACAATACCACTCATCAACCTCAATCCATGCAACTGAAAGGGGCATGACACATCCCCCCTTCCCCTGTGGTGGAATAAAAAAGAGCCAACGAGGAGGTGACATAATGCCTCCTCACTACCTGTCAAACGCCCTGTGAAAATAGGTCCCTACTGCAGATCGCTCTTCAGAGGGTGACACCAGTGTAATAAAGCCCTAAGACTTCGAACACCTTTTATTCTGATGTACCTGAAATGTACTTAAACTATTTAAGCCAGAAGTTGATTTAGGCTGTCAGAAATTATTTCTGATTGGTGATCTGTTTAAATGCATGTATGTGCCATTTTGAAAAAAAAATAAATAAATTTAAACACACACACACACACACACTTGAAATATTTGTATAAATGTGTACATAGAAATGACTGGTTTACTCTTCAATTACCTGGTCTGCATAGTCTTAAGTAACATTAAATTATATACATAGCCTGGGGAATAGATTATGGCTTCCAATAGACAGTTGCAAATTAATAAACGTTGGTTAACCTAATAAGTGTATTCTATTCAAATATGGGATATTAAAGTAAATTCTAAAACAAACGTTTGCCATAAATCTGCCCTGGAGCAGCATCAGGGTAAGTATTAGGCGGTTTGCAGGTAACCCTAGGAGGGGATTACAAGTTCCTAAAAAGTCAGAGTGCTCTCTATAGCTCACAGAAATGTTACAGTGCTGTAAAATCTCCATGCCACCTGTTGAATCCCTGTACATGTGTAAAGTGAGTTGGTACTCCTTTAAAGTTGAGCCACAGAATTCCTAATGTTGCGTGTGATGGCCGACAGACTTCAAGCTCATTTACACTTGCTTCGATGTTAACACACCATTTAAGAGCCTACAGCTTCAACGTGTCTTTGATGCTTCGGTGATGCTTTCTTGAAGCAGGGCAAATACCCTGTGTGTTTTCAATGGGCCAGGTAGAAACCCCAGCTCAGTCGTACCCCCAGCTTATTAGTACCCTTGAACTGATCCGCAGCTCAGCAGACACCCCCGGCTCTGCTGATCCGCAGCTCAGCAGACACCCCCGGCTCTGCTGATCCGCAGCTCAGCAGACACCCCCGGCTCTGCTGATCCGCAGCTCAGCAGACACCCCCCGGCTCTGCTGATCCGCAGCTCAGCAGATCAGCTCAGCAGACACCCCCGGCTCCCGCAGCTCAGCTGATCCGCAGCTCAGCAGACACCCCCGGCTCTGCTGATCCTCAGCTCAGCAGACACCCCCGGCTCTGCTGATCCGCAGCTCAGCAGACACCCCCGGCTCTGCTGATCCTCAGCTCAGCAGACACCCCCGGCTCTGCTCAGCTCAGCAGACACCCCCCGGCTCTGCTGATCCTCAGCTCAGCAGACACCCCCGGCTCTGCTGATCCTCTATCTCTAGTTTCACTCACCTCCCACTAAAATTGCTCTTACGCTGCGCACCACATGTGACATTGCTGGTCTCTCCTCCTTTGGTCTGCTAATCCTCTGCCGTTCAGTCCTCTCTCCAGTCCCTGCTCACTTTCTGCTATAGCATTCCCATGTTGCAAACCATGTGTGCCATCTGCCAAGTTGATCTGCTCCAGTTCAGATCCCGCTCAGCTTCTTGCTGCTACACACCAGATGTGACGCCTGCACCAGACACTCCCAGAATATATACACATGAACTGGAAGTGACTGCTGATGAGTTTGCTTGTTTGTTCAGTGCATTCTGGGATCTCTCATACCTGCAATATCTCCAAAACAAAGCAAAGCTAACCCTGAATAAAAGCCCGCCAAAAGTTGCAGGTGCTGTTAGCGAGCTGTCACAGGCAGGCTTTGGAAACACTTTGAAGCACCAAGGGACATGGGGTATAATTTTTGAAATTAAGCAAAGCAAAATGCTACATGTAAACAGGACTAGAAGCTTACCATGTTAGTTAGCAACAGGTGCTTTGATTGGCATTCAGAGCGCTAAAAAACAAAAAAAACAAAAACCAAAAAAAACGCATGTCCAATGCCACTTGGTGCTGTCAAGTAGAAGGCAAAGAAGAAATCTGATCACACTGGGATAGATGTGCTTCTAGGCCTAGCACGGTCAGTTTGAAATAGAAAAGCTGAGGGACTGGCAGGTACACCAGGCTTTACACACAAAAGGAAGCAATACCAAGAAGAACAGAATACTCCTAACATGGGTACATGGTACAACAGACAGATATCAGGAATGTGAGATGTTGGAGGTAACGTGCACTTTCAAATGAATTGAAGGATTTGGAATCCATGACTAAAAATTGGACAACCAACATATTTTGATTAGAACCCCCCCCCCCCCCAAAAAAAAAAAAAACCCCACTCACCCATAAAAACTATTTTTTTTTAATGGATGAAATTCTTTTTATTTTAACTTGGATAATATTCTCATCCAATGTGGTCAGACTTCAAAAAACACATAACATAAGCACTGATCTGTCAAAATCTGAATTCTCATAAATAGAAGACTTAATTTATCATCTTCTACTCCCTTTACTTAGGCTGGCCATACATTATACAATCTTGAGAATTTTGCTTTAGATTTACCACAAAAAACATAATCTGAGATCAAACCTAAACAATACTTTCAATTGTATCCAATTAGGCAGGCCCTTACACTACATAGTTGAAGGTAAATCTAAAGGAAATTGGGCAGAAATTGTAGGAAAAGTGTATAATGTATGGCCAGCCTTAGACTAAATTCCTCAGTGTAATCACCAACATGAAGCCAGCTGTATCTTAATGAGCAATAAGCCGTACCATAGACTTGTAAAAAATAAATGAAATAATTTGCATGAGGGTAATTAAGCTGATGTCTTCAGTGAATTGAGAAAAAAAAAAAAAAAATTTCAAATCATAAATAAAAGCAAATAAGACATTGTAATGAAAATTCCACATGAATTCTGCTTTTGTGAACTGCGCTTATTGTACAGAAGGTGGTATATGTATAAAGACCTTGCGTGAATAGTCTCTCGAGAGGTAATGGGGGGGCAAAATTGTTTATTTAACCCCTTACCACCAACCCCGGAATCCCTTTAAACAGTTCAGAATGCCTGGGGGCAGGACGTATTGGCAATCAAGTGATCCTGGTCACAGAAGTCACATGATCACAAGCCAGTCCTGCTGGCTACCAATCTTTAGATGGGACCGAAAACCGTCTGACAGCTTTGTCATTGTGCCAAGACAGCGCAGGGAGTGCACTCAGCACATAGACACTGTCCACCCAGAGACATGCATGTCTGCTATGTGGGCATTAAAACCAAAACACGTATGTGTTGTGCAAGCGTAAATGAAGGTAAAGCAGTAACAAACCGTCGGAGCTTTTTAGTTTAACACACTGAGCACAATAAAATAAATAGTAAACTTTTTGTTAAAACCAGCGAGTTGAGCAAAAAAGAGCTTGCAGATTCCAGCATTCACACATGCAAGGATCTCCCACACAGAGCTATAGTATCCTGACAGCGGGGACTCTCCCCCCTCCATCACAATATACTAATCATTGCTGCAGCCATTGATTGCAAAAGCTGATCAAATGAAGTTTTTTCAGCAGGACTGTTCATTAGAAGCAGATCTGACGATCGGCTTCTGTTGAACAGAGGTCTGTACACATTGATTGAAAATTTTATATCTGTATACCCAGCTTTACCCCTACTGCTGCTCCCTCGGTGCCGCTTCCCTGAACTTCTGGTCTTCACAGGAAAGAGTTCGAAGACAGTGCAGTCTCCAGTCAGCCTGTTAGCTTAGGGAAGGGAGTGCATTACTATCCTAGGATATGAGGCTGTGTGTTTATTGATGCACAGTGTAGGAAGACAACTGTAGTCCCGCCATAGGAGCCACCCTGAAACAGGAAACTTGGGTAAGGGATCATGGCACCAGTTTAAAACTGAAACACAGGTAAGGGTTAAGAAATAAAGCATCTGCATACTCAGTAAGTGAATAAATCTGCTTCTGAAAAGGATTAGAATATCAATTTAAGGCTCTCTTTCTATACATGGTGTTTGTTTTACAGTTAATTCCCTCAGCAGTGTGTATAAGATGACTCAGAATATGTAAGCTACACAGAGCACACACCAACACTGCCAGGAATTGCCCAATGATTACTAGAATTCTTCCTTTGTTCATCAGCTCCCCGTTTATGAAACCGTATCTGTACCAGTCACACCGGGCCGCACACAGTGGAGCTACACTGAGGTCACAAAAGAATAAGAAATCTTCCAATTTTATAGCAGTCTTCCTGAGCAAGTGCTGTGCCTTTACGACATCCAGTGTACCCTTTCCCCAATAATGCAGGTCACATCCAGGGTTAGGATTCTAAACAGAGCGCTGTATTTGGATCTGATTTCTTTCAGTACAAGTGATGCCAATGAGAGTGTTTGGTGCCAACGTAGGATATGTCACACACATATAAGGCGGAATGCGCTGAGTCTATCTTGGCGTGTCATTGCCAGAACCGTGTTTACAGCTGATCATTCCAACAGCCTTGTGACCGAATATGCTTCTGTTACTTATCAAAGTGCATGCGTTCAGCTGACGAGAAAAACATCAAAATGTTTGCATCAATGGGTACAGTGTTCACAAGAAAGCATGAAAATACATTTTACAATAATATTTCATTGCAACTGAATGCTATGTGAGCGCGAAAGAGAGAGCGTGCAAAAGAGCGAACGCGCGCGAGAGAAAAAAATAAAAATAAATAAAAAACAGAGAGAAAAGCAAGAAAGGGAAAGAAAGAAAAAGAGAAAGCTCACCAGTCCCTCAATCCTGCCGTTTCACTGGCCGTCCTCTCTCCCTGGCACCTTCAGTATGGGCACCCGGCTGTGACAGCTTGCAGCTTCACAGCCGCGTGCCCACCACTGCGCATGCACGAGTAGGGCTGCATTTTGTGAAAGGTCTTGTAGTCTTTTGGCACATGTCTCAGAAGAGTAAGGGGAGGAAGGCGGGAAGACAACTTACACTTCCGATCGCAGTAGGAGTGGGGGTACCTGTCAAGTGGGGTATCCGCTCCTCCCCACCCCCCAAGATGCCAATCCCTAAAACACCAAAAAGAGCCATAAAAAAGGAGAATTTCCCCCTTTGGGGGGTGTACACACACACACACACACACACACACATCAGAGTATAGCACCAAGTCAGTTAAACTCCTGGGATATTGATCTGGTCAGTTAAGTAGCAGAGGGGGTTGTTAATCAGTTTCAGCAGCTTTGGTGTGTTAAACTAAAACAGGAATGGTTTTATAGGTGGAGGCCACTGACATTTTTTTCCCTACTCAACTTTTCTGACTGCTTTTCACTAGTTTTGCATTTGGCCAGGGTCAGTGTCACTACTGGCAGCATGAGGAGATACCTGGACCCTACAGAGGTTGAGAGGGAGAGAGAGAGGCAGGCAAGTACCATTCTCTCAGCAACCACCAAACCCAGACATGTCCATCGGATTGCCAGACAGGTGCAGGATTCCTCACTCCAGAGAACACATTCACTGCTCTAGAGTCCAGTGGTGGCATGCTTTACACCTCTGCATCCGACACTTTTGCATTGCACTTGATGTAAGGCTTGGATGCAGCTGCTCAGCCCATGGAAACCCATTCCATGAAGCGCTCTATACACTGTTGTGCTAATCTGAAGGCCACATGAAGCTTGGAGGCCTTTAGCTATTGACTCTGCAGACAGTTGGCAACTTCTGCGCACTGTGCGCTTCAGCATGTGCTGACCCTGCTCTGAATTTTACATGGCCTACCACTTTGTGGCTGAGTTGCTGTTCCCAGTTGCTTCCACTTTGTTATAATACCACTAACAGTTGACCGTGAAATATTTAGTAGCAAGGAAATTTCACGGATGGACTTATTGCTCAGGTGACAACCTATCACGGTACCACGCTTGAATTCACTGAGCTCCTGAGAGTGACCCATTCTTTCACAAAATGTTTGTAGAAGCAGTCTGCATGCCTAGGTGCTTGATTTTGCAATTAAAATGGAAAGTAAACAGAAGAGAAATCCAAATTAAATCAATATTTGGTGTGACCACCCTTTGCCTTCAAACCAACATCAATTCTTCTAGGTAGAATTACACACAGTTTAAAAGAATTTAGCAGGAAGGTTGTTCCAAAATTCTTGGAGAACCAACTAACTTCCGCTCGGATATGCACATGGGAGCGGGTACCTGTCAAAATCAGGTATCCACCACCCCCCCCCCCCCCCCCGAAAAAAAAGATAGCCAAATGTGAAAGAGGAGGTGGGGGGGTGTCTTAAAAACAGAACTTTCCCTTTTGGGTGGAGTTACACTTTAACAACATTGGCTGTATGTTTGGGGTTGTTGTCATGCTGCGGAATAAATTTGGGACCAATCACACATCTCCCTGATGGTATGGCATGATGGATATGTTTCTGCCTGTATTTCTCAGCATTGAGGACACCATTGATCCTGACCAATTCTCCAACTCGATTTATAGAAATGCAGCCCCAAACTTGCAAGGAACCTCCACCCTGCTTCACTGTTGCCTACAGACCCTCATTGTACCGCTCTCCAGGCCTTTGGCAAATAAACTGCCTCGTGCTATAGCCAAATATTTCAAATTTTTACGAATCAGTTCAGGAGGACCTGCTGCCATTTTTCTGCATCCTAGTTCCTAGGTTTTCTTGCATAGTTGAGTCCCTTAGCCTTGATGCCATGTCCTATGCATGGTGGGGTATGCCATACTGTGCTACGATATGGCAGAAGATCTCCAATGCTGCGATGTCACCAATCAACTGGTCTTTGACTTGTCTTCCATCTGGATTAAGTCTCTTCAGCCACTTGAATAGCTGGGCCGCGATGACTTGCACAGGAGTCACATCACTGTGGCACAGATCAGGAGCTTTGAATGTATACGGAGCTGCACATGAACAGTTCAGTTTACATTTCAGATAACAAAAAGCAAGAGGAAGCTCTCTCTCTCAAAAATAATATGCATGCATACCTCTCTTTCTATGGTCCTTTACGCAGTCTAGTGACATCACAGGTCCTCTTGTGTCTTCATTGGAGGGCAGGTCCTGAGGAATGCAGCATTTCCCCCGAGAACATATGGCAGCTTGATGATACACTCACAGAAGGCAGGTGCTTAACACTCTGGGCTCACAGGAAAGGAGCTAAATGATTCCAGGCAGGGCTTGACAAATGTGCTTTGAATCTAGAAGCTAGCTAAAGTTAGGAGCCAGTTTTTTTTTGTAGTGTAGCATGGGTTGTCAGACTTTGCACAATGTGATTTGCCATGAGACAATCACTGCAAAACCGCACCAAGTTTTAGGCGCCATTGAAAATATTAACATCTGAACCTGTACTCTGATCAGTGATTCTGCTGCGATCCCAAAACACCAGGTGTTAATGGAGCCACCCTGGTTCACACATATGGAAATCCGTTAGTTTTTCAAAACTAATCCAGAATTGCATAACAGGCTAGATATTTTGTGTTCCTGTAGAGGGGATTCACACAGATCTACAGGCATTGCGTTTTGAACGCCATTATGAAAAGGATCTTGTGCAAGTCTGTAGCAGTGCATTACAGACTTGCAAGTGATAATATTAATTATTATACAGGATTTATATAGCGCCAACGGTTTGCTCAGCGCTTTACATTATAGTGGGAGACAATACAGTAACAAATACAGTTCAATACAAGAGGGATATGAGGGCCCTGCTCCTTGGAGCTTACAATCTAGGAGGAGGGGGAATGGTACAATAGGTAATAACTGTGGGGGATGGAGTGGTTGGAAGAGTAAAAAAAGTTCCAGTATTAGCACTGAGGGCGGGATAGGCTTCCCTGAAGAGACAGATTTTCAGTGATCGCCGAAAAGTAAGTAGAGTAGGCGATAGTCTGATAGATTGGGGTAGGGAGTTCCAGAGGATGGGTGATGCCCTCTGGAGAAGTCTTGGAGACATAGCATGGGAGGAGGAGATAAGGGAGCTAGAAAGTAGGAGGTCTTGCGAGGAGCGGAGTGTACGGAGTGTACGGTTTGGGTGATATTTAGAGACAAGATCTGTTCTGTCAATTGGGGCAGTGTTGTGGATGGCTTTATATAGTGTTTTGAATTTTATATCCGTTGGGCAACTGGGAGCCAGTGGAGGGATTGGCAGAGAGGGGGTGGCAGATACAGAACGGTTAGTAAGGTGGATGAGTCTGGCAGCAGCATTTCATGATAGACTGGAGTGGGGATAGCCTGCGATGAGGTAGGCCAATGAGGAGGGAGTTTACAATAGTCGAGGCGAGATATGACAAGGGAGGTGAATAAGTTGCTTAGTGGTTTCCGAGGTTAGCAAAAATGGAGATAATGTGTATTGCTATTGACAGGCATTTGCACACTGAAATCTACGGGGGGCGACTCGATTTGCCATTCAAGTCTTATGGGGGGGGGGGGGGGGGTGCAGTGTAAACCAGGTGCAAACCTGGTGCCTGGGATTTGTGAAGCTAGCATTTTCCAGGCATCATTCAGCATGAAAAAAGCAGCACCATCTAGTGCTGGAAGGGATTTACTGCAAGGAAGAGCACTGGAGATATGTGATGTAATTTTGTGAGCGCAATGATGATTTGATCCTGCCAGGAATGTTGTGAGCTTACAACAGGGGGTGTCCAAACTTTTTTCAAAGAGGGCCAGATTGGATGAAGTGAACATGGTGGAGGGCCGAACAATTTTCACGAAACATGCTCTTTGGTGGATCCATTACAATTAAATGCAAATAAATTATTTTATGCCAAGTTTAATTGCAAACTACATACTTTTCATTTCATAACATTAAGATCAACTGACATTCGGCTGAGTTTTCATACAAATGTATTGAATTATGGTAAATATAAAATAAAAAATAAAAAAAAAAAAAAAAAATTAAAAACAAAATAAAAAAAAATTAAAAAAAAAAAAAGATAAAAAAACTTACCTGCAGCATAAATGGTGAGTATGGGAGTGAAAAAAGGTAGCTTTAGGAGCTAGAAGTCTCGACTCGGCTGATCCGAGGTGGGGAAATAAAAAATAGCGCGGGAAAGGGGAAAGAGAAGAGAAGCCATCACTTCACAGCTGGAAGCCCCAGGCCTCTACGTCTGCCCCGTGTGCCGTCGGTCTACTGCCTCTTATGTTGCTCCCAGCAGCGCGGCGCAGTCAGTTCAATGCATGCGAGCGCACTGCTCTCTCTCAAGCAGAATTAGCTACTGTCAATGACCACAGAAGGGGAGGCGAAGCCCGTGCAAACATTGTTGCAATCGCATCGTTACATCAGACCAGGGAGCATGGAGAACGACGCCGCAGTCAGGCATGCGCCACTGCCCTCTGCTCTCAAGCAGCAGGGATCATTTTACTGTCTGCCATTAGTAAGAAAGGATAGGGCCCGTGGGAGGAGGAGCCACACATTAGGGCCAACTAACAACACACAAAAACAAAAAACAAAAAAAAACCCTAAATGAAAAAAAAAAAAATAAAAAAATAGAAAAAATAAAAAAAAAAAAAAACTCTGTGTTTAAATGCACAAAACAATGGAAAAAATAATATTTAAAATAAAAAAAAAAAAAAAAGTGTAAACAAAATGATGTTACAAAAAAAAAAAAATAAACAAATATACATCAAAAGCAAAGAAAAATGGGTGTCAGCAACCCCAAAAAACCCTCGGTATCAAAAGTCGGTGCTGCTCAAAAAAACAGTAAAAAAACAAATCAAAAAAAAAAGTGAAATCCAAAAGTCCCCAAAAAAAATAAAAAAAAAGCCACTCAATAACAAAAAAGTAAATAAACAAAAAAAAAAAAAAAAAAACAGAAAGAAAAAAAAAAAAACACTGAATTTCCAATCCACGAATAAAAAAACTCAAAAAGAAAAACATCACAAAAAAGACAAAAAAAAAACGAATAAAAAGGAAAATAAAAAAAACCCCCCCAATAATTACAAAGCCGTAAAAAATAAGGTTGCCTCCCCCCTGCCCAAAAAAAGTCCCGGGGAAAAACATAACATGCAAAAACAAAAAAAAAATAAGAAAAAAAAAAAAGAGCTAAACAAATAAAAAGGAAAACCAAAAAAAAAATGAATGGTTGGAAAAACCAAAAAAAATGCAAAAACAAAATGCAGAACAAAAATAAGGAAAACAAAAAACAAAAAAAAAGTCTGCAAAAAAAAAAAAAAAAAAAAAAAAAAAGCAAAAAAAAAAAAAAAAAAAAACATTAAAAAACAAAAAAAAAATTCCAATCTCCAATAAAAAAAAATGCAGAAGGTTTAATTCTAAAAAAAAAAAAACAACATTGCTCCTCCATAGAAAAAAAAAACAAGTAAAAAAAGCTGTCAAAAAAGGACAGGAAGTGTAGTTGTGTCAAAAAAAAGCCGAAAACAGGTAAAAAATAAAAAAAAAATCTGAAAAAACAAAAATGAATGCTAGAAAAAACACAAAAAAAAAAAAAAACTAAAAAAAAAAAAAAAATATAAAAAAAAAAAAAAACAAAAAATAAATAGATAATAAAAGGACACACACTAAAGTATTAGACGGGGAAAAAAAACTCTGGTCAGAAGATAAACTAAAGTTACAGTCCAGAAAAATCCAGCAAAAAACAAAAAAGTACTTGTAGGGACGTAAAAAATGTGGAAAAAAAGTGTGTGAAACTGAAAAAAAAAAAGAAATTAAAAAGAAAAAAATAAACTGGCTGCTGAAAAATAAAAAGAGAATTCCAAAAAAAAAAAGAAACAAAAAAAAGATAAAATAAAAAAAAAACTCTGAAAAAAAAAACGCTCAAAAAAAATAAAAAAAAAAACAAAAAAAAAAAAAATAAACAAAAATAAAAATTAAAAAAAAAAAAAAAATAAACAAAAACAAAAGTTGGAAAAAAAAAAAAAACTAAATCAAAAAAAAAAATAAAAAAAGAAATAAAAATAAGAAGGGTCAAAAAAAAAAAGAGAAAAAAAAAAAAAGCAAAAAAAAAAAAAAATACAGCACAAAGTCAA